CTACTCAAATGCTCCACAACTCATGAGTATATTTATCTTGTAATAGGTTTATTATTACTATTTAAAACCATTTAACTACATTTTAATTATTAAGTGTTTAGGAAAAATGCATAAAGACAACCATTTTCCTTGTTGCAAACATAGTGGTTTTCCAGATGTAAATTTTCTTTCCAAAGTAAATATTAAAGGTGATGAATGTTTGTATTCAAAATGTTTTAATGAACAGCAAGTTTCTTTTACAACTTTTTCTTTAATCAGTTAGTGTGTTTTCAGCTTCCAGTAATATTAAACACATGAATTTACCCATCTTAACTTTCAACAAAAAACAGGGGAAAGCAAAACAAAACACTACCACAAACAGGTAGCTATTGGTAAAGCTCTGTTTTAACTATTTAATTTGATTTAGTTTACCTATTTCAAGTGGAGTTGAAACTGCATTTTTTTGGTCATGAAAATGAAGAAAAGCAGAGAGAAGCTTGAAAGTTTGTCTTTTTCACCAACAAAAGTTGGTTCAATAAAAGCATATCACCTCATCCCACTTTTCCCTTTCATAAAAAAGGATGACCTTCACAAGTACTGAGTTTCCCAGACTTCTTCCATAAGTTAATATTTGATACTGAAACATATGAAGGTGTATGCAGTATATAAAGAGCATGACTAGCTAGAGCAAATTTTGACTGATACTGTTCATTTATTTGTTTTTTCTTAGGTTGGTTGAAGATCTTTATTGGTATTGGTTATTCTTTTATGGTGGAATTGCTATTGTGATCTTTTAGCAAGCTCTCTACTATGACAGATATCTTACACTACTATTACATGTTTGGAAGTGATGCACAATTATTTAGTTTGAAGATATTTGGAACAAAATTATAGTTACAAACTCAGACTGATTATTTAAATAATGAAAAAGGCACAGTTTAGGAATAGAGTTAGGTTTAAGAACTTAAAACTTTTAATGCTAACCCCTGTTATAAACTCAAATAACATCTCCTATGTTTTTCATTATTCTAATGCCAATATTTATTATTTTGTTTTTAAATTTTAAAAAGTTATTTAATTTAATGATCATAGAAAGTGTCAGGTTGACAGCCTTGGAAACAGAAGATATCTGTTTGCAGCACAGAAGGTATTGCAAGGGGAGCTGCAAAACAAGATTGTTCCACCGGTGTAGCTCAAATCTGACCTGAAGGGACCATCTGTGCAGTGAGAAAGGTAATTCAGCTTAGACTGTAAATTTGTCAGGACAGGATCTGTGCCTTCCTGCATGTTTGGGCAGCACCTAATAATATGAGATCCTGTATAATAAAATGAGTAGTTTCTTTGCCTTTCTGCTAAGGATACCAGTTACTTCCAGTTGGGATGTTCTTCTCTCCATTACTGACTGAACAGCCACCAGCTCATTTCAGATAGCCCACTCAACAGCCTTCAGATAATATTGACTTTTGTTTTAAGGCTGTCCCGGGTTGGCTTTGCGGCAATCCAGACTCTGCAGGAGGAGGACTACAGTCTTTTAAAACATTGCTGCATGTGTCTACCATTGCATTTGTTTGAATGAAATTTCCAATGAATCAGATCAGTTCTTGGTACTGGGGGGCATGGATCAGCATTCATGTTGCACTCCCCGATAGGACCTGGCCCAAACTGGGGAAGCTAATGATCCAACTAGCAGACTAAATTTGGTGATGAATCCTGGTCACGTGCCACCTGAAGGACTTTGCACATACATTAAGAAGTTCTTGGTACTAGTAACCGATAAGTGTCCTTGCTGTAGCATTGAAAATGGACTTGTGCAAAGATGATAAAGGTAACCTTGGTAGTGCCATGATATTTGCACATGAAAATAGCATGCATTAAAAATAGCCACTACACCTGTGCTCAACAGTCTGGTTAATTTGCAAGTGGACTGTTGGTTTTGACCTATAAATGGGTCCTACATGGGTTGGGATCTGGCTACCTGTGATACCCCTACAGTTGTGACCAGTAGAGGGACTTTAGCTAATAGTTCCCTGTTTTAAAAAGGTGCTGGAGGCAGGGCATTTTCCATGAGAGGTTATCGAATCTGGAGCTCAGAGTCTGCATTTGGTGACCCTAATAGGAATATTAGGATGTTCCAGAACAGGTGGGATGAGGGATTTGGAAGGACTGATTGGGTAGGGTGAAGTTATTATTTTATAATTAATTGATTTCAAGGATAGGCTATTGTTAGAAATGTGAGTGGTTTGTATAGAGAGTGGTTCAGTTTATATACTTTTATTAGGGCTGGCCAGCAAACAACAATTCCAATTTGTGAAACATTTTGAAGTTTTGAAATTTGATTTTGTTCCACATTGGAATGAAAATGAGGCCTTTCAGAATCTTTTGTGAGATAGGATTGGGTGGGGAGAAGAGTGAATGACACATACACACTTACTTGCCTGGTGTGTAGGGCTCTGGTCTGGGCTGTGGGAGTCCTAGATTCAAGTCCCTGTGCTGTCTGATTTGGTGTGAAAAATTCTGCTCTGACTCTCTCATTTTGAGCAAAAATGAAAGCCTGGACTTGAGAAATCTTCTTGACAAAATGTTCATCAATATGTTTTCATGAACCATTTTGGTTTTGACAGAAAAAAATTCCTTGGAAAACTTCAATTGGCTCTAACTCTGATATCGATTTGTAATTTTTTAATATTTTGTACAAGCAGCTAGAGCTTGGGATATTAAAATAAATAAATACAACAATATTTAGAAAGAAGATTCTTTGACTGACTTACAGGAATACATAATTCCCAGGATAGCAAATCATTCTCAAGAGATTGTATTCAACAGCCCCGGAAACTATTCTGTATTCCTTTGCCCAAAGGTTTGACAGAGCGAGTTCTCCCTCACACTTTCACCTTTGAACTGTAACACATAATGTTGCATTTAGTTGATGACCATGAAAAAGCCTTTCAACATGTTTTAAAATTAATTATACAAATCTTTGTAGAATTGCAAATTCATTTTTAAAATTTTAAATGCAAATCCTTTATTTTTCACACACTCATGTTGCTCAGAAAAGAATTTCTGGTTGTACTCATGGCTTTTAAACACACCAGAATGATAACATACAGGCAGATGTCTGAATAGTCCTCAATACTAAGAAAGAATATCAGTATCATAATTTCTAAATTCTTTGGGCCCAATTAATCTATAGTCTTGTTGAACTCAGAAGAGTTGCATGCAGAATAAAATTGGCTCCTTTATTTTTAAAAATCAACTGATACAGTATATGTCCTCCTAGCCTCTCCCATTCATAAGTTAAATAATCTTGCTTTGGGACTTCTTTCTAAAGGTAGTCAGTTAAGATAGTAGAATGGGTCTAAAGGAACACATTGATGTTTCCTGTCCATTTATTATTTGCTCATTTTTTAGTGCACCTCAGTCTCTATCAGCAGTTTTCATTCCTCATTCTTTAATCTTAGCTCTAGCTTGCAGTGTGTCTTTCAGTGCTGAGGCAGTGAAACTCCATATTTTAGCTCTGCAGGGACGCTATAGAAGTGAGTAGGTAAGTTTCCCCATGGTATAAGTATGTTACCTTTGCAGTTTCACTCTTTCATCAGCCTGGAGCATCTTGTCTACTCCAAATCGGGGTTTTCCTCATGACAGCACATATTTGCTGCTCTTTTACTAGTGGGCATGCGGCAATCATGTTTCAGCATATGTGAAATATATAGTTAATACTTTAAAATTTCAAATTCCATCTGTTATGTGGGAGTTTGAAATCTAGGATAAAGGGTCTTGCATTTTGTGTGAAAAATAAGCATTTATAATTAAATGGATAATCCTCCACCAGTCATTCTGCATATTCTATATTAACTCATATCGATTTGTCACTAGAAGTATATAGAATAAGTGTCTGTTTACAACTAATACATTATTGGGATTAATTTGTAATGATAAAGGTCTAATTACAGTGCCTATTTTTAAATTATTTTATAAAATGCATTTCTGATCTTATTGAACATGACTTGCAATAGATTTGTAAGGATACTTGGTTAAAAAAAAGACTACTATTGTAACATAATTAACTATTTAAAAAACTGCATGCAATTCTTTGTTTTTAGTTAGTCATGAAATTATTTTCTTTATATGTTGAAATATTTTACAGCTATTCTTTTTCTGCAGAATGGAAAGTGAGTAAAGCACCATGATAGAAAAGGTCATAATCTCAAAACCGTAAAAAAAAGTAATGTCATCTCCTCTAGTGTTGAAGGTTAAATATTTTAGTGAAAAGTGTCAGGGATGTAAGAGGACATTGACTGAAACAGTGGCCCACTTCCTTAAGTAACTGTCTTTGTGCCACAGTCTTGAATCCCCTAGTTTAAAGACCTATTGGAAATGAGGTCATGAGGTGAGAGGTCATGTACCAGGTGACCAAGAGTTCAAGTTAAAATGTGGCAGCAGCATTCACCAGGGACAGAGCAAACCAAAATCACAAAAACTTCACCAACAGTCAGAGAGTCCTGTCAGGCATACAGAAAATAAAATCTGTTCTCTTTGTGTATCAAAAATTAAAACAAAAACGGGAGCTATAGTAAATGTTTGCCTCTAGGTTTGTTTGCTAGGGGGAAAGTCTTATCACCTGCTGATGGAGACAGTTGGGATGATGAAGGAAAATGTGTATGGTTTTATAAAAATAACAGTGAGAGAATATAATTTAAATATTACTAGTAGAGGATCCCATAATGTGAAAAAAGCATTTTTAAATAAAAATCATTATAATCAGAACATATTTGTATACATTATGTACAAATAAAAGTATTGATAGTGTATATTTTATTTCTAATACACAGAATGTATAATAGATATAAAATAGGTATTCTTTAAATCACATCTGAATTTAGTACATAATTTTCAGCTTTTAGCCAACATTTAAAGTTAACTTGTTTGGTGCATGTAAAATATGAAGAACAAGAAATTATAAAATAAGACATTGTGAATGTTTGACTGATCAGCTACATTAAATATTTTCTTGGTGTGATGAGGTGTATAAACCAAGCACTGGAGTTGAAGGGGTTAAAGATGACCTCACCCAGCTGCACATGAAGATCATGCTCCAGATGGAGGTGGAACTTAAAAGGAAGCCAGAAAGTTCAGAAGGGGGCTAAAAAGACAGGGAGAAGAACCGGCTCTGGCAACTCCTGAGAAGGCACAGTGCGGCAGCTTCTCTGGGGAAAGAGGAGCCTACCTGCTGAGCCAACACATACTAAAGGTGCAGTTTGTATCTTTTCTTATTTACCTTTTGCTACGGACTGCAAAGCTTGGACTAAAGAGATGGTTAGGAAGTGCCCCAGGATAGGCAGCCTTACGGTGCTCTTGGGTGCCTGACTTTTGATGATCCTCACAGGCCCATGGGCTGGAGCCTTGTGGATTGTGAGGACCCTGGCTCCCCTTCTAATCCTCCTCCACATTAAGAAGGAACTGACTCCCTAACCATTAGGTCATGCTTCCATCAAGCACCAACTTTCACACTTGTTTACATGGTAACCAGACGTGCAAAAGGACTTCTGCCATATGCCTGTCCCTGTGAGATAGAACAGATTCTGGCACATTGTTTCAGGTTCCCAACTAATAAGCTTCTAGACTATGACACGATAGGCCTGGGAGTAATGTTGCTGTCTGTTGGCATATGAAAAGAAAAACTAGAAAAGATTCTGAGCAGTTAGGTACTTCAGAACTTGTATGCTGCATGTCTCTACAACAATAGTTAGGAATTATGGGACTGTCATGGAATTTTATAGATTATTCCATTCCATAGCTGCAATGCTAGTGGGCTCCACTGTGCTAAACAGAGTAGTAAGAGCATTTAACACAAAGGTAGAAGAGCTAAAGTGCTGAAAACTTCTGGAGAGATAAGAGTGGGGTGACCAGACCTTACAAACTTGATGCTCCAGCCATGGATATGGAAGGTATTCACTGGCATTGGCTCTTGTATAACAGGATGCTCCACAGATAATATTGTTGAAAAATCCAATTGATGGGGACCATTAAATGTACAATTTTCATTGGCATTATTTGGTTACTGAGGGAGCATTCCACAGGCAATATTGAATACAATCGTGTCTAAAAGAATCTGCTGTATGGCAGTATCCATTCCCCAGACAACCTTCCATGTCTATATCCATGTGGCAAGGCATCTCCTAGAATACTGTTGGCATGATTACTGTTAGTAACTGTAACGACTTAAATTGGATATTTAATTTTTTTTTAATATTAGGTACTAAAGCCAGAGAGTGACAGTCTCTATTATGTATTAGACGTATTGGATTAAAATAGTTCTAACTGTAAGAACTGGATTCCATAAGTACTGGATTTTGATTAAACTTCAAATAGTAAGTAGATACAGGTTTCACTCTTGAAACATAATAAATGAAAATGACACCCCTTACACCAAGTTTTACTATGAGAACAGGTTAGATATGCATTTTTGTTCAAAGGATATTTTGTCTACGCCATATATTAAGAAAATGGACACACCGCCAGTTTGAGGAATGAATATTTGTTGGGTGTAAGCCAGCCAGCCAAGTAGGATGTGAGGAAAATGAAATGCTGAAGGATCTCCTTTCACTTTAAGCAAAGCAAGTGATCCCACATGTAAACAGGACATATGCATCACCACTGTTGGTCCATTGATTTCCAGTCCCATGCTTTTTCTGTTTACCAGGCATGATCTTAACACAGTCCTTGAATGATTTCAGTAGGCCTTTTTGTTTGTACTAATTCAGTCTTTCAGCCTCTTTTGCATCTCCCCCCCCGCATCAACATTTATTGTTATATGTTATTGTGACACTATATACAACTTTCTCACAGTTGAGCTCACAATTAAGGAAAATTTGCAGACCCACATCAAGCCCCATCTCTAATTTTATGCCATTAGAAAAGATCTTCTTTTATAGTAATATTTGTACACTGTGAAATAATGAACAAAATATACTTTGCAAAATCATGCCCCGTGCTGTTTTCTATGATATCCGAGCAGCTCCAGAGCTGGCCCTCATGGAACTTAAAAAAAAAAAATTTCAAAAATGATTACAAATCATTTATTTGCAGAATGTGTCTCTCACTCTTGCTATTAGAGGCATTCAGTACTTTCTTAACTGTAGGGTTCTCCCACTTTCAACAGAAACATCTGCAGGCATTAATTTTATGTGGGTATTAATTCTATTTCTCTATACATTAAAATGGAATTTCTCTATAAAATATCAAAAATATTTTTGGAAAAGGAAAATGTCCAGTTGATGAATTTCCTGATTGTGCTATTGTTCCATACTTCTCTGTAGAACTCCTGGACAGCTTAGTTGCTAATTGTATCTGTAAAGTTGACCTGAAATTATTCAACAACAGAACACATTGTTATGCAATTTGTCTCAAACTCCTAATGCACAAAAAAGGAGGACATTGATTAGAATTTATTAATAGTTCTTTTATTTGGTCTTTATAATATAAATACACACTTGTCACAATTTACATCCTGCCTCCATCTATGTAACTTACAAATATTAGTGTGAGGGAATAATGTGCAATTTTTAAAATATGGACCCTCCCTCTATTCCAAATATTCTGTTTCAGAACCCAATTTACCTTAAAATTAAATCTACAAGTGTTCAGTGGGTCTGGACTCCTAACCACAGATTCTTCTTAAATTCCTGTTTCAGCTTATTCTCTTTCCATTAATTCCAAGGAAGCAATATTATTTAGGTGTGGAAACTCTTCATGCATCCCTCATTTCTTCCATGGTTTCAGCACACCCTTCCCCTGCTGCTTTGAGATTGGAGGGGCTTTTACCCATTATATGCTCTGCTTCTCCAACAAACTTTATTGACATTCACTTTCTTATAATTAAAGCACAGCAGGAGAAGCCATCCCCAGGTGCTGGTTGTGGGATGCTGGGAGGAATAATCACCCATGAGGTTTTGTAATTGTCTCCCTATGTTTCCTCAAAGAAACCAGGGCAGAGCTTAGAGAACTTATATTTTACTATGATAGGAAATATCATTTAGCACTGATTAACACTCTTTTGACTAGTGTATAAATACATTTATACATAGTTTTAAAAATGCAGATACATTTTAACCTGGCAGTGAGGGAGAATCCACAACAGCCTTTGGTAAGTGCTTCCAATGGTTAATTAACCTCACTGTTTAAAATTTGCACCTTATTTCTAGTCTAAATTTTATAGCTTCAACTCCAAGTCATCGGGTCTTGTTATACCTTTGTTTACTAGATTGAAGAGCCCTCTATTATCAAATTTCTGTTCTTCATGTAGATAGATCATCATCAAGGCACACCTTAATTTTTTCTTTGTTAGGATTAAGAGATTGCACTTCTTGAGTCTTTCCCTATAAGGCATGTTTTCAAAGCCTTTAATCAGTCTCTGGGTTCTTCTCTGAATTCTTTTGAATTTGTCAACATCTTTCTTGAAGTGTGGGCTCAGTATTCCAGTATGATCATGTGACCAGGCTGAGTGCAAAGCAAAAAGTAAAAGGCAGGTACTGTTGCTTAATCCGTGAATGACCTGCTTGAGAGCCAGGAGGACTGCAACTATTAGGTCCCTCCAGATAAGGGCAGGCCAAAGGAGCCTAAAAGGGTATGATTGGGAAGCAGTGAGTGGGTCTGGGACCATCTGAGTGAAACTGTGGGGCCCTCCCCTAGCTGCGATGGAGCTTGAGGAACTGTTGGGTGCAGTTGGACTCAGGCAAGAAGATCTACTGACTTTGTGGAAAGGTTTGGGAAACCTGAGGGGAAGGCTTGAGACTCTGGGAACTGACTGATCTGAGGGGAAGGAGCCTCAAAATGAGAACATCTCCTTTGCAAGATAAATGACAGCCAGCTCTGGAGACTTGGGTTTGAAATTTAAAATGGGAGGGGGGGAATGATTGTATGGAAAGGTAGAATGTGAGGCAGCAGCCATACACTGACAATAGGGTAGTGAAGCATTCTATGATAGAGCTAGATCCTGAAATCCCCATATGGAAAAATCTGTCAGGGTATGTTTACATTGCAATTAAAAACCTACAGCTGGCTTGTGCCAGCTGACTTGGGCCAGTTGTGGGATTTTAATTGCAGTGTAGATATACCTTCTCTGACTTCAGGACTGGACTATATATGTATATTTGTTTAGTCAGAAAATGGGCCAGACTTTCTGCTGTGGTTGCTTTGCACTGCACCAACAGAAGAATGTGGCTACAGAGCTAGTGTATTTGGCTCTGGGAAGATCACTCCAGTGCAAGGGTGATTATCCGGTAAAGAAGGAACAGCCTAGCCTAGACTACTCCAGCTCACACCATGCCTGCTACCAGGGAGAGTAGGGGACTGGTAGTCTTGGGATTGCAAGAATACAAATGTGAGCATTATGCTACCTTTGTACACTCTCCGGATCCCACATAAATCCATAGCATGGATAATCTATAATACCCAGTGGACCGCATGCCAAAAGGAGCTGACCCTGTGAAACTTCCATAGAAAACAATGAAAGTTGCAGGTGTTAAACACTTCTCAAGATCTGGCCCATTATACTTATTAAAGCTGTTACTCTGCATGTGGAAAACAAGTTTTCAAAAATCACCTATAGTGCAAAACTTTTTACAACTCAGTTAAAAAATATAGCATGTCTCTTGGAAAATACCGTTCTTTAGATGAATGAATGCAAAATAGCACCTACAGGGAAAGCATGTTAACTCCTCACCAACTTCAAGGCTGAGACATTTTAATAAAAGTTTCAGAAAATATTTACACCAAGAATAAATATAATCTGTGAAAATCATGGTCTTTCATCCAAATACAGACTGTCTCCCAGCTACAGGACATTTTGGGCACTAATAAATGGCATACTTGCTAGTATTTTTTTAATGCCATATACTTCTTGGCATGAAGCAGAGAACTACAGGCAGCTGTTCAAATGGCAAAAGCTGCAGAGAATAAGGTTCTCATACCAACAGTGGTGAGAATGAATGAAGTGACTTGAAGAAGGATGAGATACACAAGAGGAGGAAAGAGAGCAGGGCCGCCTCCAGGCACCAGCCCACCAAGCATGTGCTTGGGGCGGCACCTGGAGGGGGGTGGTGCGGCGCGGCACTCTGGCCCGAGAGCGGGGCCGCGACTGGGCTTGCCGCCCTTCCCGGGGCGCTCCAGCCGGTCGGGGAGAGCGGAGCCGCGGCGGGCTCGCCACCCGCCCCCGGCACTTTGGCCGCCGGGGAGAGTGGAGCCCCGGCC